TTTAACGTTTCTGTTAAGTGTATATATATATATATATTTGCTTTTATTTTTGCAATTACCTTTTAAAGTTACACAATTTAAAAATGTATGTAAAAATTTCAGTAATTTCTGTTAACTTTTTATATAAGATAATTATATATTTGCGAAATTTTGTTGGTAATAAGCTATCATATTTAATGATTAGAATTTCTGCATTTTTTTAATATTAATAATTGTATAAAATACTCATGGTTTGAAAAAATGCGATTTTTTTATAGTTGTTTCCAGGTAATTTGATTTGAAAAATGCAAAAAATAAACATTCAAAATTTCAACTGGCTGTAAATTATCTCAAGTTTCACTGATTGACATCGAGTTCGCTTGTAATTTCAGATGAATGTATTAGATTTCATGTTCAAAATAGAAAAAGTTAATTACTTATTGGAGTGGGAGCAAACAGACTCTTCAAAGTTACGTTTCTGAGTTTAAATTAATTAATTAATAATATGGAAAAACTTGAATATTGAGAACAATGAATTATTGTTAATTATTACAAATAAAAAACAATTGAAATTCGTGCATTTATAACATCTTGCAGTTTATTGTTCTATTTAATCACTTTCATTTGCTTTTATGCAATAAACTTAGACTTTACATTATAGCAAAGAATCTAAAGGCAAGAACATCATACGTAAACGACACTACAAGGAATACCACGACAATGAATAAAAATTATTAAAATATATCGTAATTATTAAATCTAATTACAGAATGTGCCTAACAGCCCACTCTAGAAACAAATTATTTAGTAATTAATTTACAATAATCGCAATATAATAGTACGATATAATTCGGTAATTGTTAGCATATTACTAAAATAAATGTTTTAAAAATATAAAGAATAATCATTAATAAACATCGCAAAACAAGCGAATACAAAAATAGAACAGCTTCGTTTTTTAATTTAATTATTAAATTTTGCACCTGGCTGCTAAGTGGGATGAAATTTCGGGTTTGATGCAGTATACCAGTGTTCCGCAACCGGTGTGCCGTCACGTGGTGAAAGGTGTGACGTGAACTTTTACATATTCAGTTAATTTCAAGTTTTATTTATATATTTTTATCACAGTTGTTGTGTTTCTTATGCTTACATTTCATTCTCTGCCGCAGCACTGATGAAATAAGATGATATTTGATTAGTCTTTATTACAAGCCACGCATTTTTATGTATTCTAAGAAATTATGTGTAAAAAAAATTTGCTTACAGGTGTTGATGTCTGTTTAATAACAGTAATAATAGGTTAGTGGCATTACGTAATTCTATTAATATTATCATATAATACGTTTTTGAGGGGAATAACATTTTGGTGTGCCGTGTTGAGTCATGGGTGTGTCGCAAGTAGAAAAAAAATGCTGAACACTGCAGTATACAATCTAATGATAATATGTAGTAGTATTAGATTTATACGGCTCATCATAATTGCTTCTCATTGCTTCATTATTCCATTTATTGTTAATTCCGTTTAAAGTCGGTCTAGTTTGGATTATCTGTTATCTGTCAGTCATATTTTATATAGGTGCTGGTGCTTGTTTTCAATTCATTAGAACAATCAAATTTTAAAGTAATAATATAAGTTTCGATACGATTAATCTTGCAATACATTTCAATTTTATCTAACATTGTGTGAGATTCCGGGTAAATTCCGTTCTACATACAGAATAAAAATTAAACGAAGGAGAAAGATCGAAAAAATTAAATTTTTTGTTCATCTGTCCTGACACCAGTTGAGATAACTTTTTTCCCCGATTAACTTATCTTCCGAGTGGAATAAAAATATTTTCAAAAGATCAATCGGAGATTTGGAGGGTTGTAATTAAAAGCATGACTAAATATATTTATCATATAAAGACTATATTTATTTATTATATATATATACAATGAATAAATTATAGATTTAGTGAGTTGGATCCTAACATCCTCTCATACTTAAATATCAAAACCTTGTTGTTCTCGTTATCGTTTATTCTGTGTTGTCTGTAAATGTGTATGTATATAAAGTGGTACCTCGGTATACGTCTGCTTTACAATACGTCCAATTCGGAGTACGTCCTATTTGGACGAAAAAAAACTTTGCTCGGTATACGACTTAATTCAATTATACGCGTTATCTATGAAAAAGTAGCACTATCGGTGTATTAGACCAGACTAGACGTTCGCAGTGACACGGTTTATAACTTTGTTAAATTTCTTCTGATTTCAATTTGTAAGTAAAATTTTATTATTTTTATTAATCATGAATTGCAAAAAGGCAAATGAAAAGTAACACAAAACTAAAAAAAATTACTAGAATTAAAATGGAACTGAAAAAACAAATTGTTGAGAAATATGAAGGTGGTATGCGTGTTCGAGATTTAACTGTTGCCTACCGTATTCCGAGAACGACGGTATCGACAATCGTGAAAAATAAAAACATTATTAAATTTGCTAACGTTGCGAGAGGGGTTAAATCAATTTCTAAACATAGATCGAAAACATTAGATCATATTGCGAAATTGCTTTTGCTTTGGATAACTGAAAAACAGTGTGCTGGCGACAGCGTATCGGAAGCAATTATTTGCGAGAAAGCTAAAAAGATACATGCTGATCTCATGAAAAATCAAGCAGGAAAGTTAGGTGTTTAAAACCAGCCATTTTTTTTACATGAGAACGGATTAATCATTTTTACATTACTTCTTGTGGGAAAGGTTGGTTTGGTATATGTCCTATTCGGTACAAGTCCAAACACCAGGAACGGATTAAGGTCGTATACCGAGGTTCCACTGTATACACAAATTTCCAACTTCAGAATCCAACTCACTAAATCTATCCTGATGACACAGTGTTTATATAATACTACCAGTAGTAGCCCGGGACGCCTCCTAGTGGGCGTTCTTTACAAATTCCCATGAGGCACGGTTTCTTTGCCTTTTTCGTTCCTATCAATATGCTCTACAGCTCTGTTAAAGTCCCAATCGCGTCATACGGATCTATATTTCTATCTATTAAACATTCTAGAAATACTTTAAAATAGTTTAATTTGTTTATTTACCTTCGCTTGTAAACCTTGATTTTAAAATGTATCCGCCATTTTTTCAACAAATTTCTCATGAGTCAATGAGTGACGCTCACTGAGTCACCAGATGTTGTAAACGTGCGGCGCAAGGTTAATCAATGCATATAATAAGGCAAGGCAAGGCATATATTAATTATTTATACCATTCCGTGGTATAAATAATAAATTGATATCAATAATAAATCCCTATTACAAATAAAAATAATTTATTGTTAATTTAAAATCATCGCTAGGGTGCCTCTAGTGCCCGTTTTTGGCATACCGTTACGCGGGCAAACGGACTGACGGACACGCGTTCAATGAGTTATATAGATAGAAAATAATTTTATTACCTATAATACTTTCATGTTCATCGTGCAGAGTTGAGAATTCTTGGAGACGAGCAGGAGAATAAAAGCGTTGGCTAAAGCATTAAGCACCAAGTAAGAGCGCGTTGGAACGTGATATTTCACCTTTTATGCTGAATTTCATCCAACAGAATTATTGGAAAATTAAAATAATTATTTAAGTCGAAAACGAATAATTAAATTATTTTATGCTTGTAACTGGTATGCAATAATCGTGTACGTTACTGCAACACTGAGCATTTTAAAGGGGAGTTTGGAACCGACAGAAATAATGTCCAAAGTCGAAAATTTTGGTAGCTCTTGGAAACATTTTACCGAGAATTTATAAGCAAGTTTACTCGAACATTTGTCATTGCAAAAACTGAAATATTCCATAAATGGAAAGAAAACATTTTTGTAACATGCAAAGCAGAGAAACAAACATCTATGAATAAACAAAAAGGACAAAACGAGAAACTTATGTGCATTACCACAACACATATTTTATTAGAGAATGAAGGATTTGCAAGATGAAAAAATTGTTTGAGGTATTGCCAGCACTCAGTATCGTCCAAAAAATACATTCGTGAAAAATTAATATTTCTAATAATTTCATATAACTTGTCGCTATTTTGTTTATTTCCGTTGGAGAACAGCCACATTTATTTATCATTTCATGCAAACATTTAAGCGCATTTTCTAATTCCTTGTATATTACTACGAATAATAAGTAAAACAAGCTTTTAAATGTACGCAATAACACAGTAACATGAGAGAAAATGTGTTGCGTATTGCATATAACTCAATGACAAGCGTATATCTGTTATTGCGTATAACAGCTCTGCGTTATTGCTATTTCGTTTACCTGGAAAATATCTACTTAATTATTGCAAATCCTGCCTTTGGTGTGTCATATAGCAGGAATAAAGATATATTATTATAAAACGTTTTAATATAATTATGTGATATAAGTTTCATAATTATGAACACTTGGTTATTTTACAGTATTTGACACATCTCTTCTACATACGAAAAAATTAACAGCTTAAAAATGTGCGAAGATTTCTGGATTATGTATTGAACTGGATAAGTAATAGACTGTATAACGCATTTTATGTCATAGAAGAAGCCGTTTTCTACTATATATAAGAGTACAATGAATGCAATTTAAAAATACTTCAATGTATTATGACAAAATCTAATGGTTGTAAGAAAAATGTGCATTAAAGATTATTGTGATCCAAATACTAGATTCGTTTAATGTTCTTAGCTCGACTTGTGTGATTACATTCTACTTACCTACAACCTTATCTGGATTATTTTTCAGGAAAACTAAAATCTTTCAACAAATATTAAAAAACAAAACATTTTTTCACTATGTGAAAAATTGAAAACAGTATCAAAAAAGATAAAATAAAAAGGAATTGGTCTGTTCACAGCAGCTACCACCCATTTGTAAACTCGACTGAACTTACAATAGCTATGATTAGAATATCCAAGTCTTCATAGGGAAAAATAATAAAACCTATAAAATACAAAATAAAATCAAAACTTGCTCAGATCAATGGGAAACATCACTACTATTACAATGCTGTTTCTCCCCCTTCAACAATTAGAATATTTCGAAAACGTGATCTTTTGTAATGGCCACTAAATGTCATCAACGAAAGCACAGTAGGAATGAATAGCAGGGCATGGAAAGCGGTTAGGACAGTAATTAAAAATACTATTTTTATAAAAATTACGAAAATATAACATTTTTTATAAAGAAACAATATTCCTAATATACTTGACAACGATCCTTGAAGAATTGGATAACCTATTTCATATAAGGCATCTTTCAGCTTTTCATTCGGATCCTCGGATGACGACATTACAAAAGCATGCGTTATATGCGCAGGAAAATTCACACAAAACCCAACGCACAAAATCAAGCTCATCATAGAAAATATATCCAGATTCACTTCCCATAAACTCATAAATCCTAGAGTCTCGATTATTGTGGAAACGACAGATATTGCTACCAATACGGCGCAAAATATATTTGGAACGAATAAACAAAATATTATAAGAATTAACAACATTGTTACCCAAAATAACTGAATAACGATAGCTTTAATAATAATTCCCTGTTCAATTAAATCTGAGACCGGAGTGTGAATCAGAACTTCGAACGGTGCCTTGTCCGCAATATTCATCACACCACTTACTAAATTCATCTCCGATTCTCTATCCATCACATTTTTAGCGAGAACCAAAAATCGACTTAACAGTATATCAGATTGGTCTTCATTAAAAACTATATCATTTGAAAATTCATCGGCACCTTTTAATCTCAGAAAAATATCTCGAAGCCCTTCTAAAAAATCCTCTTTATTAGACAAGTTGTATCCCCCTAAGGAATATTTCGAAACGGGATGTTCCTGAAATTCTTTGTAATATTTCAACCAAGAAACAGTTGTACGTGAATTGCCGATTTGGGGATGAGATTCGAAATTCCTCATCATGGTGTCAATTTTCTGTTGTACATTCTTATCAGAATAATCGACTGTTTGGTTAATAATTATATGAATAGGAAAAGCATATTCACCGAAATATTTATACATGATTCGGGTGCTTTCTGAAATGGTAGAACCATTTGGATAAAGTTTATGCCAATCGAGTCCTTGTCTAATCGATAGTGTTCCCCATACGCTTACACCCAAATTAATAAAGTAGACAACTACAATGACAATTTTTACAAGTGAATAAGAGAAAAGTTTTCCTAAATGCTTTCTGAATATCTTCATGAAGAATTCTTCGTCTTGTTGATGTTTTAGTTGAGAAGCGAATGTTTTAGAATCTAAAAATAAAATAAAATTTGAATAAATAAAGTTACTATAACCTTTCATGACTGAATTAAAATAAAAATAATGAACAAATTAAAGGATATATACTAATATTTATGATAATTTTCATGTCTCAAAGCGCTTTCGTAAGCAGTTTTTGGATTTCCTTGAAAAGAACATTATATTTACTTCCACAAACACTATTCACTTTCATGAAAAGTATGTCACCACACATTGCATGGATGAAATATAAACGAATTTCATTTATACGTTTGTACCTACTCAGAAAATTACTCATATAAAAAAATTTCCCAAACAAGAAAATACGCACAAAGAACAATTCCCATACTAATAGTATTATATTTTTTTAATACCAAAATGAATAAATAATATTAAGTATCAGAAGAATATTAATACATGTACTTTTGTAAAGCAGTGTATGAGATATAGTCAATACTTAAGTTAATTTAAATTAAATAACTTTTTCATTTATTTACTTTAAAATCTTACTACAAACTTATATTAAATTTAAAATTTAATCTCGTATTTAAAAAGGAAATTGAAAGTGATTTTGCTCCAAACAAAAACATAATTCAAAATACAGTACTTCAATTATTTCAGTCATGATATATAAGACCTATTTTAAGAAAAATTAAATTTTATAGTTAAAATGTGCGGTACATAGTTGAATGTCGTACTAAAATTTCCATAAACTCACAGCATCTTACAACTCATACAAATGGTAGGTATAACGGATACCTGATATTTATGTTTACATAAAATGAGTGTACCTTGAGCTTACAAATAAGTAATGGAAAAAGTATAAAGAAACGGAAGAAAAAGAAATAATCTTTTTATTTTTTGTTATTGTTTCTCTGTCTGAATAAGGTTTGTTCATACAGTGTTCACTTTTATTACGTTTACTTGCTTTTCAGGCATTTATAATAATGCAACAGCGTTATTGCTTTCTTTATCAATAGAAAATTACAAAATCATTTAACTCTGCCTCAAAACAACTACGGAAACAGTTGCGTATATGAATGTGTAGTGTAATTGTTTGAAATATCATAAAATATTACTAGTAATTTAGAATATAGTTAAGACCAGAAATGTTGAAAAATAAGGAAAATAACATTTTCATGATCTGTTGATTGGTGACAACATTGAACGTTTTTGCCGTAAGCTTACCCTACCCTATTTTGTTCTACTCTATCTGCCTTTTTTTCTTCAGACGTGGATGAATTCTGTGAAGTTGTAATGTTAATATATATTCGTTTTGACTTTAAATAAAAGTTTTTGTTAACTAGAAAAGTATGTGTTAGAGGTTCTGACATCAAGTTTCAACACAGAATATTGGTAATATTAGTGAATATTTTTTTCCATTTTAAAGATTAACGGGAGTTCACACAAGTCGAGATAAAGAAATGCCAATGTAATCTATTATAAAAATATCATTATCGCAAAAATTCAAAAGTTGCCAAGTTTCTAGTAAAAAATATTAATTTTTTACTTTCCCTGACTAAATCTTTCTGGATCATTTGAAAACAACATATGTATATTATTATTTTGTAAATTCATTAACGAAGAAATAAGTGTAAAATTTAAATGAATTAATCTAGAGTAGCCTATACATAAATCACTTTTTTTCTGCGGCCTACATACTTATAAAAACTATTTAATAGTTCTTGATACTGTATTACCGTATTTTTCGCCGTATAAGACACACTTTTTCTCTCCAAAATCGGGGGGGAAAAAGTGCCTGCGTCTTATACGGCAAATACAAAAGCCCACCATGGCCCTCCGCTGCCCCTCCACTTCTGCATACATACATAACCGCAGGAATACTCGGCCACTCCGTTCCCTTCCACCTCTTGGCGCCGTCTGATACCAGGAAGCTCCGCTCTGCCTCGCACTGGCTTTGTGCGGTCTTTGCCTCGCGCTGCGATTGGCTGGGCGAAGAGGCACGTGCCTTCGCTCTCTCCCGCGCTGGCTTTGTGCACTTTTTAGAGTCTCGTAAGCCAGCACGGGAGCGGGTGAAGGCACTCGTCTCTGCGCTCAGCTAATAGCAGTGATATATGTAGTATGGTATATCTGAATGAAATATATCATATTTCATACCACCCCATCAAGATGTCAAAGCAGAAGAGACTGGCATATAAAGTTGCTTTTAAGCTGGAAGTAATAAAATTTGCTAAGGAGCATGGAAACAGAGCAGGTGAGAGACACTTTGGGCCACCTCCAACTGAGAAAATGATAAGAGAGTGGAGGAAACAGGAGGATCAGCTCCAAAAGTTGGATAAAAGCAAGCACACTTTGCGTGGNACGAAGAAATAAGTGTAAAATTTAAATGAATTATTTTAGAGTAGCCTATAGATAAATGACGTTTTAGTCTGCTGCCTACATACTTATTAAAACTATTTAATAGTTCTTGATACTATATTAGTTTAAAACTATTGGTATATCGCAAATAGAAACGTACACAAAATCTATAATGGATAAACACATTTAAATGTATACTAATACTTTTCGTTTCAAATATACAACGCTCCATATTTGAAAATGATATTTATAGTATAATAAATTTTAGATGCTAAACTAGATAAATAGGTTAAGTGGGATTTGTTCTTACCTGGATGCCGAAATGTAATTGGATTGAGTCCTTTCACTTCTCTATATCCACTTAATGCCATACAACCACCGAAAAAGGTTATCTGGTAAGCATACGTGAAAAATATAGAAGCAGCAGAATAGTAAGAGAACATTCTCACGAGAGGAAACTGGGTCGTCATTCCAATACAATATGCAAGAAAATTCGTAAGCGAAGTCAATGTAACGGAAATTCCTGCTTTTCGATAAGTGTCCTTCATTCGTCTTTCCACATTTGTCGAGGGATCTGTCATTCTCCAACACGCAATCAACACGAAAGCGTCGTCTATCTCTGTCACTAAATATCAAATAAACTCTAATTACAATATAAGTATTATTTCACTAAGCTGACGATAAAAAATACTTACCTATAACAAAAAACGGAACAGAGATATTCCAATAAGTACATTGTATGTTGAATAGCCCCATTAAACCAAACGCTGTTGCTATTGCCAATCCGGCCGAAACCACACTTGCCACACCAAGCCAAGGTTTGCTTCTTACTAAATTTAAACTCATAGAACTTATTATTGAGAAGATGGAAATGAAACCGACAACCGCACCTATCATTGGTTTCAAAGTTTTAAATAGTACTTTGGCATCATCTTCAACTGATTTAAATGGATCCTGAAATATTCTAATATGTTCGAAATGAAATTTATCTAACTCCTTTGGCATTTGTCGTTGCCAAAGCATCATCCAATATTGTTTCCATTTCATACTAATATCTAATGGATAAAGCAATCTTATTGCGTGTGCTGCTTTAACGAACCCATCTTTATCGGTGTGAACACCTCCTAAATTAGTTCCATATATATTATAAGACAAAGTCATCAAATCAATATCTACAGGATATTTAATCTTCCATTTTTTGGCGGTTACATTGTTCATAATCAATTTTGAAATTGGATTTTCGAAGCATTTTTCTTGAACTATTCCACAAATATCGGAGTACTTAATTGTGTGTTCTTTCGCTGTTACGTAAGTATTTTTCACAATATCATTTAATTTTTTTATTTCTCTCATTACCTCATCATTCAACACGTTACCAAAATCTTTTTTAACGATGTACATTACGAAAGCTTTAGGTGGATTGGGATTCCTCGCCGTATCGAAATGTACAGAAGTGTTGAATGGAAACATCTTCTCAACAAATAATTTGGTGTTATACACGCTTCCTCTATCTGCTACAACTAACTCTTGAAGATTTTCGTTTAACAACAATTTTGAAATACCAAAAGAAACAGAAGCCGTAATTAATATAGGAAGTAACACAAAATATAAAGGATATCTGGCAACTTTTTCTCCCAGTTTTTCGAAAAGTTGTATCCAAATATTTCTTATGAAATCAATCTTCATACTTGAATTTTATGGATGATCTGTAAAGTTACAAATAAAGATTAACAAAAGTTGTTAATTAAATTTTACAATTAATTTAATACTTTTTAAAATGCTTTTCTATATTGTGATAATAACATAAACAATTAAGTAAAAATATGGAATGAAATGCAATGTATTAAAGCATATGTTATTATTTAACACTTATTGTTTTCTCCATCTTTCTTCAATGAAAAGATCTGTAAAGAAGTAAATCATAAATAGATGAAAAAAAGAAAAATTTACTTTTTAAATTTGATTTTTAACGGTTTTCTTATATATGTTTAAGGAAAACCTCATTGTGTTAAAAATAATAAAACTAAAAAACGTTTACAGTAAATACAGTTAGTACTAAGGAAATGAAAACTGATGAGAGGTATGACACCCGAAATGCATTGTCTTGTAATTAATATCCATAAAGTCTAAATTCATTCTTGTATTCTCCAAGAGTTTCCTATACGATAAGACCTTAAAAAGCGTTATTATAAACTGGTATTTTTGAAACCGTGCCAGTAATTTTTAGTAATTCGAACACTAATCATTTATTGTAGGCTATTTATTCAGACACTTGGCAAATTTCATCATTAAATTTTATTCAGTTGATACGTGTTCATTGCATTTGTACACGTTTCGGGCATTCCTTGGCCCTCTTCAGGCAACTAAAATAAAAGTTTACAAGTTACAACGGTATAAACAAACAGTTGAGGTGTGTTCATTTCTGACCAAATCGTAAAACTTTCTCTTTCTTATATGACATCAGGAAAAGTAAAAATGAAATAAAATAATGATTGTTCAGTCGCTTATTTTAAATAAAATATAATCTAATGACAATTAAAGTTTAAATAAATAATGTTTAACATCACACCTCATAATATCTATTGGATTTCTGTAAATCTCCAAATTTCTATATCCATTGCTGATTTACATGTAGCGCCTCATATTGTAAAAAAATTTAACAAAATGTATTTATCTATGTGGTCATGTAACTTCGTCTGAGGAGAAATTTGAATCGAAGTAACGTGACATCCATTCCAAACCTGTAGTTTGTATATAGTACGTATTGGCCTCCTGCTCCTGAATATTTTTGTCTGGTCACAACTTTGATGTATCTAACTTCTATCTCGAAATTATGAAAGAACAGGCAGACAGGCATACAGACTGACAACAGTCGAAATTTATATATGATATACTCTTGCTAAATTCCGGAACGTAACCCCATGTTTTGCATTAGTCCTTTGTTTCGTATAGCACGAATTAGCATAACACGACACTTTTTCGAAACGTAGCTACCGTGTTATATACGAGGGATGTTTTATCTGTAATATATGCCAAATAACAAAATACTTCAGTTAGATATATTGAAAAAATGTTTTTGTTTTCAAATATATTTCACTCTGTATTTATCTAATGCAGGGGTGGCCAACCTTTTGCATACAATGCGCCAATTTTCTGACAGACGAGTTCAGATGCGCCATATAAATCGAACACTTTATACAGTCTTACGTTCAATGTTAGGGGTCGATAAATAGAGATAAGAATAAATCTGCTTCGCTTAGGGGAGAAAAGGGAATAACTTAATCACGCAGTTAAATTAATTAATAAATTAATTAATTAAATTAATTAATTAAGCAGTTGAATTAATTAATAAATTAATTAATTCAACTGCTGACAGTTTATTGAAGCACCAATTTACAATAGTCAGCAATGATCTACTGTACGAGAGGGTGATTGCTTGGTGATGGTGCTATAGCTGCCAGAGTCTTGTTTGGTGAAGATTACTACGCACCACAATTATTGGTACCGAGAACGAGATGAGCTTGGAATAACTTTAATCACAATAAATGTTTTCAACCATTTACACGCCTGTAAACTGATCGGAAATAAAGATCGCAAGACTCACAATACATGCATACATTGTAATTTACTATGTGGAGAACACTCATTTTATCTTCAAAATAGACTGTAACGAATTGTGCAACAAATGAACTCGCCAAGACAGACTGTAAAAAATTTATTTTTCTATATAATATTTTTAATTGCAAAAAAGCCAAATCTGGCAATTTTGCTCAGATCTAACTGAAGCGCCACTTGTAATCGTCTAATGCGCCACGTTTGGCGCATGCGCCACGTTTTGGCCACCCCTGATCTAATGCAATATGATTCTTAATGCAATTTAAGCAGTTCCTATTTTTTTTATGTTCGCGATTTCCAGCATATGGTGTTAAAATTTTTAAACATATTTAAAAAATTCTCGAAAACTGAAGTAGATAGAAACAAAGAGTTTTCTTCCTTAAAATCATACATAATTTTTCTATTAATCTACGCTTCAATAGTTTGAACAATCACTTCGTTAATTTTCTACGAATTTTTATTTGTAGAAAATGAGCAAATTCGTTTATTTCATTTATTGGAATAAACATTATAACCGTCTACGTTTTTTCCACATCCGTACAAAACTGTAATTTATCGAATTTCGCGAAAAAACGAAAACGTCAGATACTTTTGCACCAGTCTGGTCCCCTACCATGAGAAATTAACAAATTTATACTAAATTAAAGTGAGCTTACCTGAATACTGTTTAATGTAAACGGAAGAACATCTCTGCACACAATTTACTTCATAACTCATATCACAGCATATATGTATGTTGCGTGTATATGCGATGACGTGCAGAATAATTGAGTAAAACTTGTTTTGAAGATTAAAATAAATGGATTCTTTTCTTATCAAACAACTTTTATTTGCCTATATATTTCGGGAAATAATTGGCTTCAGGCAATACGTAATACTAGAAAGTAAAAATTAAAATCGACGACAACAGAAAAGCACTTGCAATATTACAATATTGTATAAATTTTTACAATATATAATTATTTAACATAAAGTTTCTTTAATTTATGCATAGAAATGCATTAAATCATTACCTTCTTGTTTTTTTTTTTTCTTAATGGGTTTATTTCACTATTAATATTTTTAATTCTATTAATTTAACACTAACGAGGTCGAAGGCCTTAAAAGTGCTTCGAACGTTCCTGATTACGCATATTCGTATTAAGATTAGGGTTTCAGAAAGTTTTCTAAGATATAATCTTGTGTTCATCTTACACAATATAACAATTAAATACAAGTGTAGACAAACTTAAAATTTATAGGAAAACCATTTCGTCTACTCACTTTTATCGATCGTACGTTAAATCACTCTGTGAGTAGCATTGTTTTAGTACGTTACGTTCCTAAAGTTCAGTTTTAGTTTTATTTCTAGTAAAAAAAATGAAGCAGCGAGTTCGTTAACTTTCCCGGCAACATTTGAAATTCTCGTAGCGCTATCTGTTATGTTATTTTGTTTTAAAAGCTTTTCATATATTTAATTATAATAAAATGGCAAAAAGCTGTATTTTGGGGTAGGGATGACTTTTATACATAAAATTGTAGATGATAATAACGAGTTAAATCGTCATTAAGTCCGACCCTACTCGAAATATGACACACGACACTCCTTTTTCTCTCCACCCGTCGACCATTAAATTAGAAATAAAAATAATACAAATTTCATCGGATCGCTACACAAGTTGCTATCGGCATTACATTTTTAAAGTGTAATCGGTGTCGCAGAAAGAGGGAGACAGAAGGAGTGTGCCCAGGGCGCCGCTTTTTCTGTCTCCCCCTTAAGATTCTTCGAATATTTTATTCTTTATGAAATTGCCAATATTTAATATTCGAAAAACACGATTTTTCTTATAAATTAACTTCCATATTCAAATCTTTTTCGTATGCCAACTTTTTATTTTCGTACATTTTCGGCTAACAAATAAAATTCGAATAAATAAATAAATAATTATTATTAAAAGTTTCCCAATTTTTATTATATATTTCTTCCTAAACACCAAGTCTTTGTTTTTTTCCCTAATTAAATTTAGCTTTTAATTAATTTCACGTAAAACGTAGCAATTTTATTTGTGTGAATAGATCCTAAATTTTTTATTTTAAAAATTTATTTTCAACTACAATGCAATTAAAAACTAGCGAACATAATTTTAAAGAATTTTAACATATATTTCATATGAATATTTAAAATTGAATGCAAAAGTGCTCTTGAATTTCCTTTTATTTAAATGTATTCAAAAATAAGTAGTTTCGCTTGTATTTAAATTTTCAGTCATTTATTTCCAAGAATTGCTTTAAGGTATATTTAAGTTTAAATTTCCGAAGGAGACGTTCACAAAATCTTATATAAAGGAGGAAAAGTCTAGCGCCTGATCTTATAAAAAAAAACAAACCGGTTTATTTGTGATGTGATTGTTGTAGATTGATGATTGTAAGCACAGGACTTATAAAGCTTCAAATAGGGTGAACAAAATCGTGCCACACACACACATTAACACACACATACACTAATATTCATACATAGTAAAAACATCGAGAAACATTTTTATGTTTCTTGATGTTGCAAAGTGTTATGAGTCTAAAAGCGTAACAATCTTGGGGTGATTTTTTGACCGATCGCCAACTTTCCCTTTGTTATATATAGCAGAGCCGGAAAAGTAATAACATTTGATAAATTTTTAAAGGAGATGGTATTATGTTCCGATATTTATAAACGAGGAAATAATTCTGAAAAGCTACCAGAAACAACAAGTTAGTTAGATAACAGCGGTTATATAAAATTATTAAATTTGTGATAGCAAAATTACTATCAAACGAGGAAAATACTTATTTATATTTTTAATTAATCAAAAGAAAAATTTTGCACCTTTGTATGTAAGAGTTCAGTTTATATAATTAATGGTCACATTAATTAACTAAACATTAATTAGATGCAAAAGTTTCCCTTTGGTAAAATAAAAATATAAATGAGTATTTTCCTTGTTTTCAGTAATTAGTCAGATAGCAATTTCAAAGAAAGATAGCAATTTAGCAAAGATAGCAATTTCAATTCGTTTCTGGTTTGTTGCTTTAGAACTTGTTATAATTATTGTTACAAT